CAATTGTGTACATTTGTGGAAGGGACAAAGCAAGGCCAAGGGGATGACGCTTACAGAGTAAAAGGTGCCAGGGGCACAGAAGCCAAGCAGTATTAACCCAGGTGAACTCTTCTGCTATAAAATTGTTTCTGTTCAATTTTCAAATGAGCCCACAGCATCCAATTCAGCTTCATTGCATGGTTAATTCAGGTTCTCTTAGCTGGGAGCCAGGCAGAGTGGGAGAGCTATGAACAGCTGAGGATATTTTCTGTGCCACACTTTTCATGTTCTCTCTTAGTCATTCATTGAGGTACAGGAAGAACAGGCAGAGGGACATTTTGGGATCAGCCTCTTTCTAGAGATGATGGCAAACAAAACTGCTGTGAGGACTTGCCTGACTGCATGACTTCTCAGAGAGATGGCTGTCATGTTCTAAAAATGCCAGGTTGCCACCCAACTGGTTGTGGCTTGAACAACATGTTGGCTTTGGTGCACCTTGTGCCCCCATGGACAGCCTGGCAATGAGAGTGACTGAATGCGGGCTGTGGCAAACAATTTTACTCCAAAATATACCATACATAGAGAATATAGTACACTAATACCTCATGCAGAGCAGATGGGCAGGGACAGCACCCAGGTTCACTCCTTGGGGCTGCATTACACAGGGTGAAACAACATAAGAGTCCTGATCAGCTGAGTGTGATGATCAATGCTCATGCAGCATTTTTGTGTTGCCACTTGATGTCTGAAGCACACCAGCATGTTACCCTTCCCTGTGTTTGAATTTAGTGCTCATCTGCAGGCAGCTGTTTTCCTTTTCCAGACTCTCCCTGCTGGCTGCTTCACAAACGCCAGTGTTCTCTCTCACTCCCCTAAACTGTTTGTCCTGTATTTTGACCACGACTTTTTTTGTTTTCCCATTAATCTGAACTAGTTTAATCATGAAATCAAGTGTAATTGAGATGCTCAAACAGGAAATCAGTTAAGCTTATCTGCAAGGGCAGCTTTTCAATTGATTTTCTTGCAAGTGAGGTTGAGCTTTTCACAGAAGTGTGTGGATCTCAGATGTTCCCAGCAATACTTGGGATGCTATCCACACTCTGCCTTTCAAAGATCTGTGAAGCAGTACAAACTAGGCTTCTGCTCTTCAAAAACATTTTGAAATGTGTTCTCTGCATGCTGCGCATGCTTCAGTGTTGAACTTTTAGACTTATAACTCTCTTGAAATCCTCTTAAGCCGCTTGTTGTTGGGAGCTCTGTAACTCCAGGCTCATTGATATGACGAGGGAAGTTGGGACACAGGAATGTTTCATCTACAATGCAGCATCTTCTCTTAATTAAGAAGTGTCTCTCATCAGGATGACAGTCTGTCCATGGAGACCTCTTGATTACAGAGCTCTGCTACAGCAACTTTCCTTTTACAGCTATTCACAAGAACCAGCCTGGGTTGCATTTTACTGAAACTGGGGAGAGAGATTTTTCATGCAGGCACATTACTGGCCTGAACAGAAGGCAGCCTCAGATCTCTCTTCTGAGGAGTGAAGACAAATTTATATGTATAAATATGTATTTCTATTTAAAGAGGAAAAAAAAAGAAGGAAAAAAAATCCAAACACAGACAGACTGGTCCTTAAGAAGGACAAAGCAGTGGGCAGTGTATCTTTACACCTTTTACACACTTTACACATCTCTTACACACTTTACACAAGGTAAAGCTTTTAGCTTTTTGTGCTACTGCTTTACCTGATCTCCACCCTACTGGATGTTAAAACTCCTTGCCAATACTTTAATTCCAAGGTGAGCAGGCCTGAGGCCTGTAGAAACGCACATTCTGGTTTTGCCAGGAAGCAAAGAACTTTCAAAGACTAAATTAATTAATGATTTAGAAGGCTCTTGACTGTGAAATGCAACCAGTTGGAGCCCTGCCTCTCACTACCCTGGAGTACCTATTCAGAGACAAGTGCACTGAGTGATTTGTTGCTCCAAGAGAAGATCTGATAACTGGGACATGAAAATCACTCCCACCTGCTCTGGAGAGGCTGATGGAAACAACATGACATGTAAGCAGAAAGGATTTCTGTCACATAGCAAGGACTAAATGAAAACACTACACCTGCTGTAATAGGTGGTCCTGTGCCATTTGAAGCAATTTTTTCAGACTCCTTTCTCTAATTCAGAAATGGCCCTGAATCACAAACCTGTACCTACAGCCAAGTGCTTATGGATATGTGTACAAGCTGTAACCAGGAATTGCAGTGGGAGCTGCAGGGCACCTCTCCTTGGCTGGCACAGACACTTTCCCATCCAAAGTGATTTCCTGCAGAGCTCTGAGCTGGGTGAAGCTCTGAAGCTCTGTTGTCAGGTCTTCCTCACCCTCATTAGTCTTTAATGTACGGACACCTTTCCTGCTCCATGTTGGCTTGGAGACTTCTGCAGAGGGGGAGCATTGAGGGATGGACAGAGGAGTGATAAAGAAGCCCAAAGAAACACTGAGCACTTTCACAGGGGGTAAAATAAAGGATGAGTGACAATTTTCAGAGCCAAGGGATGGTCTGCCTTGCATAGGGAAATACAGGGCAGAGCTGGGAGCTGCTTCCCCTGCACCTGACTGCTGATAACACCTATCAGACACGATCTAAACATGTAAATGCTGTTTAGGTTACACCTACAAACGATGTGAGTCTTAATCCATTATTTACAACACTGAGACAGGATCCAAATGAAGTTGTTTGTTTGTGTCACAAAAATATTCAGTCCAGAGTACTGCATATCTTAGGACAAAGAAACCACAAGAATATATTTGTACTAAAAAGATAAAAGTTTTCTGAATAAAAGTTTTACATCTCCAAGAGCAGGGGAGAGTTTATCTTTTCTCTGAAGGAGTGTGGCTCCATAGAGTACCTGCATGGATTTTTTATATAAAAAAAATACTGGGCAGAATGGTTTTTTGTATGTTATCCTGTGAATGGTATGAGATTTATAGAGGGTCTGCTGCTCCACTGGAAAACATTTGGTTTATTGCCCAGTAATCAAAAAAATGGATTGAAAACTACTCATGTAAACTGCTCATATCTTAGAAAAAAATGGGCAAATTATTTGTCTGCAGGATAATAAAAAGGCAGATTGGTGGGAGATTTTCCTGCTTTTATTCTCCATGGTGACAACTCAAAGGCGATGACTTCGATGCTGTATGCATGGCAAATGTATAATGCCTGGCAATTGGGGATGTGGATGTCTCCCAAAAAGCTATAAAAGTGTTACATTTTCATTATGGAGTATTGTTACGTCCTTCTCCCCCTCATATTGAAAAAGTTCATTACAGGGGAGGACAATCTAAGTAAAATGACAGCAGCAAAGAAAGCCACTCACTCCCTATGTAATGGTTGTGGTAGGCAGCAACAGAGGCAGGAAAAAAGCCCAGGCATTTGTAAACAGCAAGAGAATTGTACCCCTGGGCCAGGGCTCAAGCTTCCCTGGACTGAATTTTGCTTTTAAGCCAAGCCTGTCAACTTCTAGTTCACACTTCTAACTCACCTGCAAGTAACAGCACCCTGGAACTCCATTTGCTTTCTGAGTCATTAAATGCTGCTCCTTTTTGCCACTGCTCTCACCAAGGACAATGAAACCTGAATGCATTTGCTCCTGCTCTTTGCACTCCACACCTCTGACTGCAGCTGCCCTGGGGATGGAAACAATACGGACCCGTTTTGAAATTACGTTCAGCTTTCATTTTTAAAATGTTTCCAGTAACACCACTGCTTAGGCTTGAGAGAATATCTGGAGGGCTTGGGGTTTTGTTGTGGGCATTCTGTAATTTTTGTTTTTATAGGGGGTAAAAGTGCCTTTTTACAAAATGCCACTCATTCTACATCCAAACATCTCCATTGGAACCCCTAGGCACCACACTGAAGGCTGACTGGAAAGAGCCAAAGGAAAGCAGAGGGGTCAGAGAGGCACTACAAGCATGACAAAAAATGACAGGCAAAAGGGAGAGGAGGTGATGGCCTGCCCTGGCACAGCCCCTGTGCAGGCAGGGGAGAATGTCAGAAAGAATTATAAAGGTCACAAGAGAATTCATATGGGAATCATGGCAGGTTCCTTCCTTTGGTATTAGCTAACTTTATTCTTTAGATTTCTGCTCTTTCTAATGCTGGTAAATCCAGCTGGCATTTCTGAGATCACATCAAAATGATTGCTGTTCCTTCACATTATGCAGTAGATACCTTCTCTGATCTTCCAGGAAATGAGAAAGGGACTTTATGAGCCCCAGGTGACATGAGGGTGGTTTCAGCATCACAGCTGTTGTAGAAAGCATGTACAGCCAGCACAGCCTGATGCAGATGCTACACCACAGAGGTTTCTGGAATTATAGAGGCAAACCTGCAGCACCTGGTAGATGCCAAAGGCATCTTTGCTCCTGGATTCTACTTTGCTCCAGTAAAAAATGAGCTAAAGCCCCTTTAGCTTTTATTGCCACGCGCCAAACCCTGTAACTGGTGACCAAGAACAGATCCTCATGCACATCTTGTGAAAGCTACCTGGAGAAACAGCTCCGTGCAGCTTCTCGACAATCTCCACACCAATTAAACTATTTTCAGAATAGCCCAGGCATGACAAACACTGTAGTGCTGCATTTATGTACCTGGAACAGTTTGTGGCAAGGTTTGACTGCTGCAGCATTTTGTGATTGCTCCTTCTCAGAGATCTCTCCCAGCAGCTGTCCTTTATCTCTCAGGGATGCAGCAGCTCTGGGGTGCTGATGGCCACTTCTAATCCAACTCCAGTAACAAAGGTGGGGATGTCACAGCTCCAGTCCCCTGTACCAGCACAAAGACCTGAGCAATTCTGGCTGCCTCTTTCAGCTCATAAATGTTGAGGGTTTCTCAAAAATTTAAAGTATTCAGAGTGCTAATTTTGTTAATTTTCCATTTCAGTGGTAATGGAGTGTTCTGAGGGTCTTCACACTGAAGCCACCCATTGGAACTTTTACAATGTACTTTGAAGGAATAATGGGATTGATGAAAAGTCATTACCATTGATATTTATTTGCCCATTCCATTATATAAAAACCTTTTTTTTCCTCTAGTAGCCAAGATTACTTTTTTTGACAGTACAGCCAAATCTACTGCTAAAGCTTGATCCTGCTTTTGCTCTAGGGGCTCTTTTAAATTTTTACAGGATTCTTTCTCAGTATCTGTTTTCTTAGCAAACCACTGTTGTGATGCTGTCATTTGAAGACCACAAAACTCTCCATGTCCTTGACATAACCCAGACATCCATATCCAGTAAGAAAAGGATTTTAATTTTATGCCAGCAATAAAAATTCATCACTGGAAAACTTATAACTTAAGACCCCATAGTAACCAGGCTCATTATTTCCCAGCACCAGCATTCTGCAGGTGTTCTGAAAGATGGCATAGACACAAACCATTACTCCTCTCCTGAAAAATGAGCTGTCTGTCTGTCTCTGGCCCCCTGCTCCCCTGCTGCAGGAGTCACAGGTCATTAGGGTTGTGTAGCTGTGCAGATAGTCACCCCTCACTTCTTGATTTGGTCCATTTGCTGCTGCTGCTGCAGACACATTTCTAATGGGAAAAATAAAGGTGGCCTGAGGACAGACATGATCAGTAACTGAAAATTCCTGCAGATTTGTACAGAGAGATAGGGAATCCAAAATTGTAGAGCAAGGTTGCTGCTGCTCAGATGTGACTTCAGGAAATTAAGACCTCCTTTTTTTTCTTCAGCTGAATCTTTTATCATCTGGTTCAAACTCACAGAATCACTAGTCATAAAATCTTCAGTACTTTTCCAGGTATTTGGATTCAAGAGATGCTTCCAAATTCTCACAAACAGTTGTTTGTACAATTAAAACAGTTTTCTTAAAAGAATTGGCTTGCAACTACTATAGGCTTGCAACTATTTATAAGCTAGATACACAAATGGCAACTTCTTACACACAGTGTACAGATGCCCTAAAGTACCAGCACTGAACAAACAAAACTGCCTCAAACAAATGAAGATTTGTATTTTTAATACACACAGCTCATTCCTGAGGGCTTGATCAAATAAACTACAGTGACTGAGATAAGGGACAGAACATAACTGAAATGAGAAGATTGTAATGCTCAGGCTTTCAGTATGAGCTTAAAATATAGAGGTATTCAGAGACTGTAAAACCACTGGTTTGGCCCCTTTTTGGGATAGTCAGATGCATTTTAAAATTTCTGTCAACTGTTTCCTGGGTCTGATGGAAATGATAGCAGGGCTAAGCTGCCTTGAAATTCATGGCACAGGGGTTGCCAAGATTGAAACTTTAAATCTTTAGATCTTGAAAGGCTACCTCTGCACAAACAATTCTGCAATTCCACAACTGTATGTTCCTGCTGGCTATTCCCTCTCTGGCCAGGAAGACCCAGGACAGAGATTTCCAAAACTACAGCCATCACTAGAGGAGTGTGAGAGAAGAACATCATCCTTTTATCAACTCACCTTCTCACATGAAAACTGGCATTAAATCTATGGAGACTATTTCTGTGGAGAAACATCAAATCTATGGAGATTATTCTTCCTCTCCCCTGACCATTCCTGGTGGGTAAATTATCTGGCAAAGGAGTAACACAGAAATTAATCTATCATTTTTATGGAGAACTGCAGTGATGTTAATATACCTTGTGTTCCAAACGGTACTGCCAGTATGAGCATCTGAGGCCAGACAGCTTTGCAAATTCCCAGAGGAGCAACAAAGATGTCATTTCAGAGGGTGATAATGTCCATAACACAATAGGGCATTATGTTGTTTCTAGGTGTAATAGGGATCAAGATACTGGACCTTAAAATGTTCTCATCAGCTTCCCTCACATTGTGATTTTAGCAGCTAAATAAATGACTGTATAATACCCTATGAAAACCAGAATGTCAGGCTTCCACATGGTGTGAAGCACTCACTTCTAAATAAAGCTATTCCTGAGACAACAGCCACTAAAACCACATCCCAACCAAAGTGGATGGAATGGTTTTAAGTGAAAAGGGTGACTTTCAAAGCTTGTAGCCATCCACAGTGCTTGTTCTTTTCCCACTGCTGTTACTGCTCTCTTCAGTAGTAGCTTCTTCTGGGAAACTATTCCCAGAAAGGAGTGACACCAGTGGCACAGGATGAAGGTCTGCAGCTGCCCTCTCACAGAGACTGTCCCCTTTTTGCTTCCTTGGAACAAAAAGGCCACTCACTAGAGTGGCAGAAGTGTCTGGTGGTGCTGGAAGCAGAGCACTAGGAAGGCCAGAGCACTGCTTTTAAAACAGTGGAGCAGGTGCTCCAGCTTGAAGCTCTACAGGCTCACAGCTGAGCTGCAAGGAAATGCAACAGCATCAAAACAATACATAGTTGGGGAGCAGGGGGGAAACAAATCATGCTCTCATCACAATAAAAGCTACTTTGACCCACTTTCAGAACAATACATCAATCTCACCTGCAACTCTCATCACACAACGAACAGAACTAAATATATTGAACAAACCAGCTCATAATTGTCTCTTTCCCCATTCAGCCCTTATCAAGGTAACATCTCATCAGTCATTTTCTTACAGTGTCTGAAAGGATGTGGATTTTCTTTCGTGGTTTAGGGCCTGATCAGCTGGAGGCAGTCTGCAGTTGTAAGAACAAGGCCTCCTCCCAGCACAGGGGTGATACAGAAAAGGCTTTAGGTATGGAGACAATTTTGATCCAAACAGAGAACCGAGGAGACAGAGAGAGCAAGAGGTGCACAGGCCTCCCTCTGCACATGGGACAGGGCAAGAGGCACAAAGGCAGCCTCACTTGTAGTTCAGGGCTGCAGGGAGGGCTGCAGAGGCAGTAGGGACGTGGCTGCCATCCAGAGCAGAATGGAGGGCACTGGAAAACAGGGCACCAAAGAGAGCCCCAGCCTCGTTTTCCTGGCAGACTCCCAGAGCCTCTGAGAGCGAGTGCTGTCCATGGGAGTCTGTCTCTTACAAAAGCCTCGGCTCCCCTGGATGGAACAAAAAGTTGAAATAGTCCATGGCTGATGGCTGCAAAGGTTCACAGAGGCACGTCTTGCTTGTTGCTCTGCATCTTCTCCACTGCAGTCACCTCATGATATCCAGCCCATCAACATGACAGGTCCACAACAACTTCAAACCACAAGGGACATCCTTGTTGGGAAATCATTCTGAGAGGAAAGAGAGAAGATTAAATGTCAACAGGAAATCTCCCATTGGTACAGACAAAGGGACAGACAAAGCTTTGACAGAGACAAAACTAACAGCAACAGCTTTGCCCACTCACAAATCCAGTCCTCTCTCCCACAGCCAAGTTATTCTAATGATAAGGTCTCCCTCATGGTGCAGATTTCCCCAGCTGGGTTGGATGGGGAAGATCCCCTTCCCCAGCAACCATGAACTTATCAGTCCTCAGCAGCTTGGGCTGTGGCAGGATGTTTTGCACTTGCTGGCATCATGGGTGAGGAATGCCTTTGGCATGAATGGCCCCCATGGGCCCACGCACACATGGGAGTCTGTGATCTCACCCCTTTCAGAAAGATCTCCTTACATCATCCCCTGCTACCAGCCCTGTCCCAGTGCAGAAGAACAAGAGCCTGTCAACCCTTCCTTAACAAGGATCAGGACCAAAGCAAAGCCCTATAATTTCTGCAACGTCTGGGTAACTTCCCTACCACAATCCTCCTGAACTCTAGATAAACTCCTTCCACCTTGGATTACCAGGCCAGATATCCCTTACCTCCCCAGTCCCAGGCACATCTGGCTTTCCCCTCCATCATGGGCTCCTGTGTAGGAGCCATTACCCTTTCCAGCTTCTTATCCCCCCATTTCCTTCCCCCCTTTCTACAGGGAGTGACACCCTGATGTCGCAGACATCTTTTATGAAAAATCCTTTCCTTAGGATTTTTCCTCCTGAGAAGCTGAGAGGCCTCACGAACAAAATGTAAACAATGGTTATCTGCTGCTGTGGGATGCAACAGGTGCATCCGTGATTGGCCTATGTTGGTTGTTTCTAATTAATGGATAATCACAGCCCAGCTGGCTCGGACAGAGAGTGCGAGACACAAGCCTTTGTTATCATTCCTTCTTATTCTGTTCTTAGCTGGCCTTCTTATTAAATCCTTTCTTCTTTTAGTATAGTTTTAATGTAATATATATCATAAAATAATAAATCAAGCCTTCTGAAACACGGAGTCAAATCCTTGTCTCTTCCCTCAACCTGAGACCCCTGTGAACACAGTCACACCCAGACTCCAGGTGTCACCCTCCTGGAAAACCCCCTTCCCCATCAACTCTGGTTAGTAACCCCTGCCTGGTGGCTCTCCGCTCAGCCTATTTGGACCAGGACCACCAGACATGGCCTCACTGTTTTCTTGGGGTCCTTTTTCCTCTTCTTGTCAGAGGCATTGAGGTAGGCCTGTTCCCTGGCCCTGTAGGAAGGGCCTCGGCTCAGCTCCCTCTCGCTGTAGGGAGGCAGGCTGTCCTCCTCCTCCTCGTCCTGCTCAGGGGACGACGACTGCGGCGGCGGCGGCTGCGACTTCTCGGCTTTGTAGGTGGAGGGGGGCGACCAGGCGTAGTAGGTGCTGCCTCCCCTCTGGCTGGGCTGCGAGCTCAGCTTCGAGGGGGTGGCACAGTGGTCACCGCTCTCGTCGTAGCTCCGCGATTTCCTGTCCAGGACGCTGCTGAGGTAGGAGTGATCGTATTTCTGGCTCCCTCCGGGCGTGCGGCTCACCAGCCGGGGAAGGTGCTTCTCCTCGTGGGCGCGCCGGCGGGGCGGGCTGTAGGACCAGCCCCGCTCCGAGTCCGTCAGCGGCTCGCGGCTGGCCCTGCAGCGCTTGCTGTAGTATTCCTCCATGGAGCTGTCCTGGCGGGGCAGGGCCCCGCCGCGCCCGCCGTGCGACTCGGAGCGCTCGAAGCGCCGCAGCTCCTGGCTGTCCGCCCGCCGCGGCCGCTGCTGCTGCTGCCCGTAGGACTCGGCAAAGGCCGCCAGCTCGTCCATGGACACGGCCGGCACGCCCACCGAGAAGCTCTTACGGGACAGCATCTCCGACTTGGATCTCTGCTGGCTGGAACAGGGAGGAGGTAGAGTTAGATCCAGCTGCACTCGTCCTCCCCAGCTGCCTGCACAGACAATGGAGGGAAACACGCCCTCCTGGGGGCATGAATCATCCGAGCTGTTTTCATCGTCTTCCACTGGAAGAGAATCTATCACATCCTTGAAACCTCGGGTTCTCTCTGCCGAGTGTAAAGGCAGCTTAGTGCACATAGCTCAGGTTCCTCGTGTCTAATGTTACCTGAGGTTATCCCCAGGGTGCACCTGCCCTGTCCTCCAATATGCAGGGCTGGACCTGCTTCTCCTTCATCCCAGAGCTTGTAGGTGTATATCCTGCTGGAAAAACTCAAGAGCCCAGCCACAGAAGCTCACAGCAGGGCAGTTTTGAAGCAGGTTTAAAGACAGTGAGCTGGTACAATAACCCAGTACCGAAGGAAGAAAATCCCTGCCATTGCTTTTGGAATACTGGGCTGCTTGAGGGAAGGTTGGGCTATCTCTCTTTAGGCACCAGAGTGCGAGTCCTTCAGCCTGGAGCACTGGTCTAGCTGCACCAAAGCAGGAGGGTGTGACTCCTATATAATAAAGCACACCAGCATTGGGAAGTGCTGCATGCATCAGGTACAAAGCTCAAGAGAGAGATTTGCACTTTCCCACCATGGGAAGAGTGGCTTAGTTCCCTATTGATCTCACTTTTACATCCCACTGGGACTGGGGTTTGTACCTATCTTTACCCAGCTAGGGAATCTTCAGCAGGCTCATTGTTCCTTAATGGATATGGCTTTACAATACTCAGAAGGGGCAGAAATAAGAATAAATATCTACTTCAGGAAGAAAAAAGCATTATGACTCTTAATATCAGCAGGAATAGATGATTTTTACAGATCTGCTTGCCAGTGCACAAGCGCAGCTCTTGTTACATGTTAAGAGTTGCAATCAGCTTCATTCTGACCTCATCTAATAACCCATCCAGATTTCCTATTTCTCCCTAGCCCCTCTCTCCCACTAAGCAGAGCAAAGGCAGCAGGAAACAGGGGAGAGCTACCAGTCCATCTGTCCCTTCTGCTTTCTTCAGCCCTTTGCCAGACAGAGCTGCCCCCTGCCGCGGTGTCCCTCACCTGTGCCAGTAGCTGTCCCGCTCGTCCCTGTAGTCAGACACAGCCTGGGAGCGGGAGGTGCTGCCCACCATTCCCGCCCAGTACTCGGCGTCGCCGTCCACGTCCCCCGCGGGGGGCAGGGGCTTCCTGCGCGCCTGCCGGTAGGGCTGGCGGAAATTCAGGTCCTCCTCGTGCAGGGAGCTCAGCTCAGACACGGTGTTGTTATCTGCAGGGGAGAAATGAGATGGGCACGGACTGATGGCAGCCAGGCGGGGATTCTGAGGGTATCACAAACAGCGGGAGATGCCTGCGTTCCACATAACTGACTTCAGCCTTCAGGAAGAGCTTTCCACCTGTGAGCTCCCTGTCCTTGCAAGGTGGTCACCGAGCTTGGTGGGACACCACTACAGCACAGAAGTTGTGCCCCCTCCCCTTTTCCTGGCTGTCTCTGGATTTGGCCTGACTTGCCCAGCTGAAACAAAAGCAACCCCCTCAAAAAAAGATTAAGGAAAAAGTAAAAGTCTGTCTGAATCACTGTCAGTCTCTACCCCATCAAGCACACTGACATCTGTAGGCCTGACATACCAATCTGCAGAGGTCTTTTTATAGTAAATCTTGTGGGTGGAGAAGACAGTGTGCTCAGCAATGACTGTTTTAGAAGTATATATAATTTGTTCGTTATGCCTAATCTGTACAGAGCTTTGATGTAGTGTCATTCCTTAAAGCCCTTCCCTTCAATGATTTTCAGGATCCCACACATCTGTTTCAAGTGAGCCTCTAGCAGTGCCTAACATGGGTTAGCTCTGTGTGCTGCCCACAGGAACTGAGCCCCCAGCCTGCGCTGTCCTCTGCACACAGCAGCCACAGGACAAGGAGCAGCACTGCAAGCCCTTCCCACACTCCTTGTTCCATTCTGCACCTCTGCCTCCTAATGTGGAAAGATCCTCCCTTGGGTTTGTATTCTGACACACATTAAGTGCAGCCTCGGCCTTTATTTAAGGAAATAAAGCTTACCAGAGGCTATGGGAAGTTCCACAGAGAAGCTCAGTTCTCAGTTTGCACCATGTCCCTATTCACCACCCTGGACCTTCTGCAGGGCAACAGCCACTCCAAACGAACTTCCTGCTTCCTTCAAGCCACACTGTGGTCACTGAGCCCACAAAAGACACTTTCAATAAAATCATCCCTCTCCTATTTTGCTATGCTGGGAATATACAGACACCACACTCTCAAGAAATTGTGAAAACAATATCCCAGCTATTATCACACCACAGGCTGTAGAAGGTATGAGTAGGATTTGGTTTTTCAGATGCTGATGATCCCAAAGTTTAATTATACAAGTGGACAATTTTAATGAGCTTTTCAGTATCCCTCATTTTGCTGTAAGAATGATTAGATAAGCACCAGACTTTTAAAATCAGAACATACCTGTAGATACCTACAACCTAGACTTTATCTGTCCCAACTAGCTTATCCTGGATATCATATCCTAGGGGCTGACTCTGAGACAAACCAAGTGAACTTTTAACTATGAATTTTCCAGTCTTCCTTAGGTCAGTGGGGAAAAAAAAATCAAACCATGCTTGTTTCTCACATCGTTCTCGCATCCTCCTGGCTGGGTCAAACTGAGCCAATTCCTTCTCCACATAGTACAGCACCTTCATGGAGTCCCTGTCCTTGTCAGCCTGGATCCTGTACCCTTTGCGCACTGCTAGGGAGACAAAAAGAAAATATTAGAGGAAAACCCATGTAAGAACAAGGAGCCCTTCCCACAACACTGCTAATTCTATAGCTGAGCTCACGTCTGCAGGCAGGTAGGCTGCGTCAAAACACACTGAGTCAGCCGCTGCTTCACAAGAAATTCGTCTACAGTGTGGGATGTGAAGTTGTAAGAACTTGCATCATTTTAGAGGTTTGCAGGAACAGCAAAAACAGTTTGGAAATGCCCAGTTTGTACAACCCAGTGCATCCAGTGATGGACACTGAGCATGGTGGGACATCCTCACAGCACCTCAACCTCCCTCCTTTGAGACAGGCTCGCTCTGGAGTTGGTCTGCTTTGCCCAGCTAAAACAAAAGCAACCCCCTCATTGCCACAGAGTGATTCCAACTTTCAACTCCCACAGATGATGGCAGAGAGAAAAGCAGAACTCTTTTCTCCTTCCTCAGCACTACTGAAAGGATTCGTCATGGTATGGGAGAAGCAGTCTCAGAAGATCAGGCTTCCTCTAAGCTCTGAGTCTGCAGGAGAAGCAGGTGGCTGAGCATTTGGGAGCTGTCACTGTGCAAGACCACTCCACCCTCCCACCCCCAAGAATTCTCCTCACACAGGTTGAAGAGCATGTGGCAGAAGCTCCAGAGAATATAGAAGGAAACACCAAGTCCCACAAAGCACACCACTGTGCTTTGAGATTTATACTGACTCCAGGGATGACGCCAGCCAGGTCACTGGTAGCTGTGAAACTGTCTGCTCTGGGATTTTTTACAAGCTTTACTTTACAGAAAGGTATGAAATGCTTGACTTCTGGGAAATCTGGACAGCTTTTTGACTTGTCCATATACCTGTGTGTAAAAAAGAAGGCCCTGTACACCTGGAGCCAAAGCAGATTTAACTCTGGCAGGTTAGCTCCATGCACACTTTACCTACTAATAATAGCTACAAACAGCCTGACTACCTTAAGGCAGATCTATGATCAGCAAGAAGAGAACTCCACCTTTCCACTCTTTCTTTGAAGAAAATAAGGGTTTTACAGCAGATTATTTAAGAAAGGTGTCAGCACGGAGCTATTTCAGGATCGACAGAAATTCAGGTCTAGGTACAAGAGAGGACTACAGCCCTCAAATTCAGCCTTATTAGAGAACCATCTTAAGGACAATTCACTGAGCACTACAAAATGGAACCTGCCTGCCTTGCATGGGCTTAACATGTTCCCTTGTGGGAATACTGCAGTGTTGCATGAATGCTCCTGCTGGGGAACAACTTAAACACTTGCACAGTGGTTCTGAGCCAACCTGTTCCTTCTGTTTTATCCCTCACCACCGCAACACATCGAGCTATTACCATATGGGTTGGGTAGTACGTCGCATAGTATGTGCTGTGTGGGCTGAGCAAGGACTTGGCAGAGGTATTCTTAGGCACCTCCTGCCCTAAACTGCTGTGCATGTGTCTCTGTGCACTAGGAAATAACCATGCTGTGCTTCAGGAATGGCTGTGCCATGGGCAGACTTCAGAAGCAAAGTGCTTCACTGTGGGTTTGACTGTGTAAGATAAGTGATTACATCTTGAGATATTACCTTGTGTGTCTGCACTCGGGAATGGTATAGGATGTAAAAATATAGCAGAGGTCTATCAGGGTCCTTCTTTTAATGTGCCTCCAGACAGCTCAGCTGACAGCAGTGTGTGCTTTATTATCCCAGTGAGTGAGTGAGTGAGTGCACAGTGCTGGAAATGCAGACAGTGGTTTACAGAACACAAGGAATCCTGCCTCCCAAAGTGGAAGCACAGCAGGTCTCCTCAAGTGAGGCTGCACTGGCTGGCCTCAGAAGTGACAGCTCTGGCTGTACTGCATGAGCAGCAAGGGCAGTTCTCCACCTCACCATCATGGCTGGTACCTCACTTCTGTCTGGTACTGTGCCAGGAAAGGCCTCTCTCTATTCCTTCTTCTAATGTGTGGGCTAGGAGCTCAGCTAAGCTGCCACCTCATTTATACACAGCCAGCAAACCACTCTGACCTGCTCATAACCTCTGGGGAACTTGAACAGGCAGCTGCCAGACTCTGTCTCCCCAGAGCCACTGCTCACACTGAGGCTGTGCCAAACACTATTTGGGCAACCTCTACAGCTCCTGGAACTGATGGAGAATTAGCCAGGCTTCATGCTAGCTTCATACTAAGCTTGCTACTGCAGCTGTGTATCAAAAAGCAAATTTCTTGGTTAATTCTGCAAGCATCTAGAAATCAATTTTGGATTTAAATCTGCGAAGATGACTGTGAACAGCTCATAAAAAAGTATTTTCCACTACAGAGGAAGTGGTTTTGTCTCTATGTTTGTTTATCAAATATTTCTCATAATGATACTAAATGTACAACTTATTAAATCTCTTCATTATTCCTTCAGCTGAGAACCAAAGATATTGTTTCTTCCTCACACTCTTCATCTGTAAATTGCCATAATCCTTTAATCAGGTCTGAAGCATTTTAAGCTCATTTTAATTATAAAGAAATAAAGATGCAGAGATGTTGACCACATGTCCAGAGCCACTTGCTGAAGTGAAAGGGAAAGGAACATTCTTCCCATATTTTCTTCTCTTGAACAGTTAATAAATTTCTAATGTTTAATTTGTATTTAAGTGGACACTATTTTTATTCTTCTGTAGGTGGAACCAACTCAGCCAAAACTCTAAGCTGTCTCCCTCCCCAGAAAGGGCAGCACTAATATTTTTTTTCAGAGAAGTATGTTTAGGAAGTAAATGATGTCTCATCCTTATACCCTTTTCATGTTAAAGATCTAGGACCAAAAGCTTCCCTGTGTGCAGAGTTTAAAGGATCTATGCAAGAGCCTTTAGGTAACTACTGCACTTAAAAGAGAGCATAAATTTTAACTTATGTGGTGTCAACACTTCTAAATAAGAGAGCTAAATATTTTGGGAGGTTTTTTGGTCTTCATTCAGCCCTAAGTTTAGAATAGAGTTCCTAGGTTTAATCTGAGCTTTGCCACATGGCGTTTATGTAACCCCAGAAAATTTTCTAAATACCCTCAGGCCTGAGTTTTCCCATTAGATCCCCTCAGAGGGGTCATTTATAAGCATGGAATCTATCTAGGGCAAAATGTAAGCCAGAATTACAGAACCTTCCAATCTCTGTCCCCCAGCACTTCCGATCCCATTTTTTAAATGGACTTGACAGAAAGGTGGAAGTCCCAAAGATACACAGCTTCAGATCAGACCTACACCAGCTGTGTGGAGGACACAGAGGCTTTTTATTCTCCTTCTGAGAAAGGCTTTTATTATAAACTCAACCATTACCTGTTTTGTTTAGCTTGCTGCCTGGTCAACAAGCAAATAAGTAGCTTGGAAAACCCACACAATGTTTTCTCTTCTATAGCCTGTCATTAGGGGATATTCTGGCATTGTGGAGGACCTTAAAAGAACAGAGTCCAGGCTATAACTCTCCCTTAGCTTCATAGCTCAAGCACCTTGAACAACAGATCCATGATCCAGACTAAGAGTTTGTCCACATTATTGCAAAAAACATTAACTAATTTTTTAAAAAGCTTAAGAATCTCTGTTGTCTTGCTAAAAAGGTTAAAGCTGTGATATATGTACTACTTCCTGTCAAGTCCTGAGGTGAGGGATTGAGTCCAAACACCTGATTTGGCTGCATCATCTATTAAATGCATCCTTCTGTGTAAGGATCATAGGATCCTAAGAACCATTCCATTTGGCTACCAAACATATCCACTGTTTTTTATTCTGAACTTGTGCTCTGCTAGCAGAGACAAGACTGGGAGCTGTGATCTGACTCTTAAAAATCCCTGGAGTTCCCACAACCAACACCACACTCTATGTGCAGTGACATTTTTCACAGGAGAAAAAAACTGAAGCACTGGGGTGTCATTCATCATTTTCTGACAAAGGTTTTTGAATTGGATACATTCTGCGTTGGATCAGTGATTGATTTATTTCCTATTTCAAAATAGGAAATTTCTCCATTCCAGAGCTCTGTTTTGATTTCAGTGACCAAAAAAAAAGTATGACTGTAGAAAGAAAATACTTTTTGTAATTCCAGAAAGATTAATATACTGACTGGGGCAGCAGAAGCACGCATAGGGTTGTTCCAGAAGCTTAATTAATTACGCTACCTAATCTTGTCTTTTCAGATGTGTTTTATCAACACACTGTTGTGAGTTAATTTAACAACTGATACTTAGTGTGGTGCTTTGAAATCAGCCATGTAGCTGTGTCAGTGATGACTCTACATTGGTGAGAGTCGTTTCTGCTGCAGAATGTTTGAATTTAGACAGCCACTCTGATCCTGAAATGCGTGTGGTTAAATAGCTGCCCTCTTTTCTCCTTGATGGCAGCTTCCTTTGCAGCAGCAGAAATGACCCTCCCCGAGACAAGAGGCATCACACTGAGATTCTAGGTCTGCTACTGCTCCACAACTCCTTTCTAGTCAGAAGCCTTTCATCATTCACATTTCACAAATGCAAAGGCTGAACAAAAAAAGTGATCTACTGACTTCTGTGAAGTAGAGGACAGGGTCCAGCTCCAAAAGATCTTGGGCAGAAACACCAAGGGAATGGGTTACTTTGCCCAAAATGCCACAGGGACAGTAAAACATGCTGCAGCAAAAACTGCTGCCAGAGTCCAAACAGTGCCCTACAGAGGGTTGGAACGACAGTTTACAAAGAGAAAGCAGCTTGCAAGGCATTAGCTCTAAGAGGAAAATGCCTCCTGCCTCTGCTCTCCTGAAATCACCTTCATCCTTTTGTCCCCTGCAAGCGAACATTTGCAGCAGTAATGAGAGGGGTCCTGTACAGGAACTTGGCTTCCCATTCCCTGCTGACCTAATTAAGCACCCACAAACTGACTCTGTGTTGATGGCCCTAGAAAAGTTAGAGTACGTACCCCAGTGCAAATGTCATTGTCAGAGACAGGATTAAAATGCAGTTTCCCTGTGTTTCTTCTCTTCACACCACTTGATCAGAGACAACCGTTCCTCCCCTTCCCAGCCCGGCTCCCAGTAAGAGGACTGAATGTTGTGCCTGGCACTGCAAATTACCATTTTGGCTTCCTGCACTGGCCTCACTTGGGGCTAAGGGAGGGGGGTGTGACTTGTCCATCAGCACAGCAGGAGATGGGACACCAGCTACAGGAACACTGGGGATGTAGTATGGACCTGGCATGGCAGAGACTGCAGGAGGGTACCCAGCTTTTGCTGCTTTGCCTGCTACATACACTGAAAAAGAAAAAGAACAAGAATCAGCATCACACACCAGCCCCTCCAGACCCACTGGACACATGGATAAAACCTGCACCACCAACCCCACAGGAGACAATCAGACAAAAGAATTAACAAGGACCAACCTGAATTTCTCTAAGCCTCAAAGGGTACTGAGGGGAGTCTAAAATATGTGCTGCATATAATAATAGTGCATATAGTAATAATGGCACTGAGAGATGCCCAGCATTACCGCTGCCATGATTTAGTGGCAGTTCAGCTTTAAAAATAACTGATGACTCAAGCAGCAGGATGAGGCTCATGGAATCTGACAGATCTGACTGAGCCTGACCAGGAACCTTGCTGGGTTGCAAGGATTTTGCACTGTTGTAGAGGGCAACTGATTTGCATTGCCAGGAAGAAACCTCCCAGGATGCTCTTAGCTCTGACCCGCAACATTCACTGACACAACAACAACTTTGGAATGGGAGCACGACACTTTGGAAAAGTAGGCACAGCTGCCAAGGCAGGGAGGGCTTGGGGAATTACATTTGTAATTAACTTTGAGCATTCAACCATTGAGTAATAGGTCAGATGCTTCACTCCCTAAGAACCAGTTCTTTAGCCAAGCAAAGTGCTCAGGGCAAAGGAAACAGTATTAGCAGATTCTCCTCCTGTTCTGCCAGGGAGCAGAAGTAGCAGGGCAGATTTGCAGCAGGGTCACTCACGTGCCCGGGGACAGCAGCAGGACTCAGGACAGCAGGGGCAGCGGACGTAACAGCAGCAGCTGTGTGGGCAGCACTGGCACCAGCAGATCCCCACCAGGAGGAAGAACAGGAACGCCCCCAGGATCACCAGGCCCACAAAGACCCACTCTGGAAAACAAGGGGAGAAAGGGAGATAGTTACAGGACTGCACTTGGCTGTGGAAGAGAACGTCAGCAACATCCTCCCAGCAGAGAGCATGGGGACAAAACACACAGGTGAATAACAGAAGCGGACCGACTCCCTGTGGGTCTAGGACTGGGTCTACTCCTCCTCTTATGTCAGAGTAGAAATGGCACATGACAGTGAGAAATGAGCTACCAAAATGTGGTCCCTTTCCTGCAGCACAGAGGCAGGAGCCCTGGCTCCCCAGCCAGAAACCGTTCACCCCACAGCAAACCTGCGCCAATGCCGCAGGACGTGCTCCATTAGCACTTGGCCCTCATCAAAGACTCATTCTTCTTGGCCATGTTCATGCCCTGCTTATGTGTTTGTTCCCTAGCCACATTCTGGTTTTAATGGGACAAACCATGGTGAAAAGCAGGCTATAAATAGCCCAGCAAACGAGCCAGGCCTGCCCCTTCGCAGCGAGGCCTACGCGCGCAATTATTCTTTTGAATGCGCCGAGCGAGCATCCTATTCAGGCGCCACTGCCAGCCAGGAAACCTAACAACCACTTTTTTCTTCCCCCATTGAAGCCTCAGATCATGTGTGCCAGGCCCCAGAAGGGAGCAGCTGAAAAACCCTACAAGTGAAAGCACGCAAGAGCTGGCCCACAAAAACCAGGATGGGGCTTAAAGGGGAAAGGGAGGGAGAAAACGTTTCTCAGACTTTGCTGCTGGAAAATGTGGTGGGAGCAGGGCTCAGCTTGTGCCAGGGCAGCACCTACTGCCACACAAGAGTTCCACAGACCAAAGGAATGATCAGTGAGCACATCTGGATCAAGAAATTACAAGACTCTGAACATACAGGAGGCCTGGAGTTGGTTTTAAATCAGAGAAATGCACCAACCCATCTCAAAGCAAGAGACAGGAGTTAGCAAGAGATTTTCCCCACTGCTGGTGGGGAAAAGACTTCAGGTGTACCCAGGTCGTTATTCAGCCACCCAGGAAACATGGCAAAAAGCAAATAAAGACATGGTGGGGCTGCAGAGGGAAAGGATGTATCCCCACTTCGGATTAAAAAAAGCAGCAGACCATTATTTCCAAGCAGAAGTCCAGAATTCACTAGAGTCTCCTGGTATGGTATTATTTGAGATTAAGAAGTATTGACACAAGGATTGCAATGTGCATGAATAATCACACTGGAAAAACAGTGCACTCCTCACCTGTGTTGCTAAGCTAAAAAGTCAAGTAAAAATGTTTCACTTTGACCATTCAAAATAGAATTTTTCCTAGTTCTTAATACAATACAAAAATAAGAAGTGTCATTTTTGATCCATCCACAGCATTCTGTTTGAACAAAAGTATGATTCTTTACTTTGCTGAAGTTTTCCTTAACTCTTTTACAAACAATTCCCCTTTTTAAAAACTGCCATTTTGAAATCTAGAATTTAAAATTTCCTTTGAAAAATGTCAGTCAAAGATCTGGCATCTACAAATCAACACTTCAGAAGTGTGAAGTGAAATTTTTTTAGTCCTTTAGTTCTTTTTTGGCTGACACACACGAATTTCATTTAAATTTGCATTTAATTTTGGTTCCTGTGGAATAATATGTTGGGGTTGAACTTACTATATGCTGAGAAAAATTCAGCTAACAAGTAAGGAAAGGGCAGAAGGGAAGCATTCATGAATGGGAAAGCAAGAGTTGAGAGATTACTGACCCAGTCCCTCAAGTTCTGCTTCTAGCAGCTGTTTTGCTTAATATTTTCATAAATTACCTTGACATAGAAAATAAGAATGTGCTAAAATATCATGACAGTAAGCAGTAGGGATGCACTAAAGGCTGGGACAAGTTATACAAAGGGCCAGTTGTCCTTGGATCTAAAATAGGAAATGTGAAATGCAGTATTATCCTGAATTTCAAAGTATGCAGTGTCACAGGTTCAAAGATAAGAACAATTTATGTTCTGAACAGGACTTCACTGGTTGAGAAAAACTGAACAAGAGAAATGATCCAGTATACATAGCATTACTGTCACCACTCATGCAATACAGCCACAAAAAATGGCAAATGTAATGCTAGGCCAAATAAGGGAAGAATTTCCAGCAGTATTAAGAAAATATCTGTGCCATCACACAATGCCTCCTCTGCACTTAACTTCATCTGGAGTTACTGATGTTATACAGCTCTGGTCATCTTTGCAGCAGAAAAGATGAATTTAGGCCAAAGCCAACGGAGAGCTGGGATTTTTTTGAGGGATGAAGGGACTCTGGAGCCTGCCTGGCAGCAGGGGAGCTGAAGCCTGCTGAGTTACTCTATTAAACAGAAGGCTGAGGGAAGATGTAGCTCCTGCCTGTAAATATGGTAGGAGGATAAATGCAGCAGGAAAAGCAGGTATTATAGTTAAAGATCTTACATAAATGGACAGAAATAGATGAACAGTGATGTAGAGAGAGAAGCTAAAAGAAGCCCATCAAAGAAAGTGGGCCAATGGGAAAGAGAAAGGCCAAACCTTAGGCCACTCCTAAACTTGCTGATCTTACAGAAAGATGAAATTACATGGTACTGGGGAGAGAATGCAAGATAGTGAGCCAGACTATCCTTTCCAGTCCTGTACTTCCTAATCTGTGCCAATCTAAGCAACATCTTAGTGGCTTTTTCTTTGTTCTGCTCTCATCTTGTTTTCTGCAACCACCATGGACACAGAGAAAGAGGTGAAATGGTCCTGCTTGACAAAGTGGCCAGCTACAGCTATCCAGTCAAACTCAGATGTCAGCTCTCCAGAGCTATTAGTGAACAGTTCACAACCACTCCATAAAGGACAAAAGCCTGGTAGAGGAAAAAACAGACAGCAAGTCCATTAGAAGTGTATCTGTGGTCTCCCTGAAAGCATCCTAGGAGTACAAAAGGGGGTCAGATTAGTGTGCACACTGCACATTGCAGGATACTCACTAAGCATATAAAGTGGATGTTTGAAATCAGTGTCCCAGCCACAGGGACCTGTGAGTCAGGATTTTACTTCACAGGAAGTTAGACCATTTCCTTTTCTGATGAGGTTAACAAAACAGCAAAAAGAGCCTGCTGGCTCTTCCTTTAAAACAAAACAAAACTGGGATTTAACCAGTTCCCAATACAACTGTGTAATGCCGAGATTCAAATGACTACCAAGCTGACATGCTCTGTGTCCCCCTGTCTGGAAACAACTGGTTTGTGTTCACAGAAGTATCTGCTTTTCTTTACTCAGACAACACCAACAGCTGAATTGTGGTCTGCTGCTGCATCTTACACTTTCTTGTTGTCTACCCATGCAGTGAGGGTGCCAGAAAGATATCTGGCCTACACACCATAATTTTATACCCATTCAATAAAATTCTAAATAATGGGGGGAAAAGAGTTAGGCAATAGAGAATCAACTGTTATCTATCTGTGCTGAAAAGACCAATCCCTCTCCTGCCATGCAGGAATTCTAGGGAGCTTTGGTTTACACTGGAGGTGGGTGAGTGTCTGCCTTCTCTCTGTTTGCATCTCTGGGACAGGCTCTATAATAGCTTCACACATTTATGTGGAGTTGCATTTTTGCACAAACGTGTGAAAGAAACGCTCCTCGGGCACCACCAGGGAATGATCAGATGACTCGAGGGCTAAGTATTCTCACAGCTTTTCCCTTTCAAGAACAATCTGTTGCACAGCCTCTGTCTCTCTGTCTCCTGTGCAAGCAGTGCCAGCACTGGTGGCTCTCGCTAGTTTTGGCTAGCAAGGGATTTATCGTGGGCACGGAGCTCTCGCGTCGGGCCCAGCCACCTGATGCCACCAAGAACATGGCCTGGCCGTGCAGCACGAGAGGGGCTGTGCCACTGATGGGGTGCTAGCCAATGCTCCATCCCCAGCACCTGCTGTGCTACCATCTGTGCTGATGCTGGAGCAGAGCACAGGCCAGCTCTGGGGAGCTGAGTGACTGCACAGCTGACACACAGAGCCACCATGCAAGGCTGAGGGGTCTCCCAGGCTGAAGCACATTTTCCTCTGTGCTAGCAGGGGGAGAGCAGAGAGCTTGAGAGAAAACGTCCCCAGAACAGCTCTGGCATTTCTGCTCTCACACTGATGCTGGCATGACATCACCCATCTCTGTATGTGGCTCCCAGCATCAGCTCCCTGGGGTCCAAACCCAGCACTTTCCCAGTAACTGAAAGGCTTTTCTCTTTAAATCCCCATGTAAAACACACACACAAGTGAAACATACACCACATAAAGATGCTGCAGAAGGATAAACAGACAAGATGACAGAGGAATGGATGATTAAGGGTGAAATGACTGAATACCTGGCATAATCTCCACAGCAAAACTGGGCAAGAGATCAGCAAGCAGCCCTGTCCTGCCTAGAAAAGACAGAAGGAGGAGAAGAAGGAGAGAGGTTACTGCAAGAAAAACACACTCCCCAGCCCCTGCCTTAGCCTCCAGCTCCCTTCCTCATCAGCCCACTTGCACTCTGTATTATGTGAATTCCTATCAACCACAGATGTCATCCTGCTCGATGCCTCTGCACTTCTGCCATTTCTGTGTCCTTGCATTTTATCAGCAGAGCTGGGGGGAAAGAATCTGGAACAGAGCTTCTCCAATCTAGGCACAAAATGACAAGATAAAGGAGTCCCTTTAGCATGGTTACACATGGTAACATCTTCCTGGAGTTATGCTCTATGCATGCAAAAGCTCCTGGAAATGCATAACAGCCCTTAAACAAAAGGACACAGTTTATTTTTGAAACATACTGATGTAGTTTCTACAGATATGAAACATCTTTAACTTAACCCAAGGCTATTGATAAATCAGCCTCATGCTTCCAAAACCCATGGATGCTGCTCTCCATGTGGGGCTCTGTGAGTGCACTGACAACTCCAGGAAAGGAGCCTTGGAGGAATGCTGTGCATATCTGCTAATTATTTGGAGATGCACGAGAATTATTTGGTGAGACTGCGTGACAAAGCCAACACCCAATGGAAACAAACCAGCCAGGGAAGGATTCGTGTAGAAATTTTGGGATCACTTTGCAAAAGAAAAAGGAAACAAACAAAAAACAAAAAAAAAGGCAAGTCAGCTTCAAATTTATAATTTACAACCAAATACAAACAAACAAACTCCAAGCCCAAAGGCAGCTTGGTGCCTGTTTGTTTTGGCACAGAATGCCTGGGATATTTCCAGTACACAGCAAACATCCTGCACAGTGCTCAGCTGTAATTTACTCACACCTGTGCATTGGCAGAACAGCCCAAAGTGCAGCTGTGCTGTGAACTCTCCCATAGGGCCCCAGGATCATGCTGGGATTTTAGAAGACATGCATATGGTAGGAGAGCTGCACTCTGAAGAGACACACGTTGTGGGCATTACAAAGGAGCAGCTAAGGGTAAGCCAATGCAAAAGTGGTAGAAAACTACCTTTAACCTCCCCACACGCCCTCCAGGTCCTGCACTAGCAGCACTCAGACACAGTGATGAACTGGATCCCAAGCTCCTCGGCCTCTAGTCTGTCCTTGAAGGTTTTTACAATCAAATTCCCACCAGCCGCTTTTTCTCAGTGCTTCAGCAGGGGCTCTGCAGAGATCAAAAATCCACAAGGAAGCCTGCTGGAGCCATAATGAGTGTACCATGACTACAGGCAGTGCTTTGCAATTCATCAGAGCTCACTAGTACTCACAGGAATGCCCGTCCTGATGAAGTGGTCCAGAATCCTTAGCAAAAGGTAGCATGGTGATGCTTCACATAACTGCTCCCCATCTACCACTTTGAGGGAGGGCTCCTGCCACCAGTCTGCTGCAACATTCTCATCTACATTTACAGGGAGTTTCATGACATTGTTTGCAGTCCATTTCCTGGAAGGATTAAGTGTCCAAGCCGCTCACAACTAGCTTGTTATGTTCCACGTGCATATTAATTATATTCCTTTTTTTGATAAATCAATATGCAATTCTTTTGCAGGCCTTTTGTGCATATGTGAACAGCACCCACATGAACCACATGCATGCAGAATATGGGCAGACATGAGCATGTAGCTCACCTCCCATGTGTTATTACCTCTGCACAAGCTCACATGCAGCCCTGGTGTGAGAGCAGATGCCACCAGACAGATTGCTGGAGGTACACAGCTAATTTAGGGTGTCTATTTGCAGTAAAAAAGGCAAGGAAGTGACACCTTTAAACAGCAGAAACTCCTTCCCAAATGGTCATTAATAAATGGGTGCCTGCTTTATTTGGAACCTACCTGGAGAGCCTCAAACCCTGCTAGTGCTGGGTACCTACTATCTCCAAAAGGAATCACATCCCCAACAGGGAAAAGGCATCCCTTAATACAACAGTGCCTGAGAGCTTGGTTAACAAACAAACACAACCAAAGCAGCTCCTCTGTGCTACCCACAAGCAGCCAGTCTTCCTGCTTGTGCAGCCTCACTTGGCTTGTCAGAGATCTGCCTGGGGAATTTGCATCCCTGCCTTGCCAAGGGGACTCACAAAGCCCTGGGGGCCCCAGAGCCCCCAGCAGGGATGCACAAAGCCTGGGAGGAGCCGAGGCAGCAGCAAATCCCACCACAGCTCAGCCTGAACTCTGCCTGCCTCGCCCAGCCCAGCTGAGCACAATGCCCACCCCTGGACTGCCTGCCCCAGCAGCTTCCACAGCTCAGCCCCCTCCCTGCCCCAGGCTGGACAAATCCCCTGATTAACCCTTCCTTCAGGGAAGCCAGCAGGCTGAGGCTGCCTGTGGTTGCCTCAGCAACAGGAGGCTCCCTCCACTGTCCCTCATTGAGGGCAACTTCCCTCCCTCTGCTGCTGCTGCCAGCAACAAGTGGAGCAAAAATCCCTCTGTCCTGCCAGCCAGGGGACACAGGGACAGCACTGCCACTGGCTCTCACCTCCTGCCCTCTGCAAGCCTGGCCCACACAGGCACAGCCCAGAGCCTGTGGTGGCCACAGAGAGGATCCCAGGGCAGCAGCCTGGTGGGTCACAACTGCCCAAAACAGAGAGCAGGGCATCCTTTTGGATCCACAGCTGTAAGAGCAGGCAAGAGGCAGTCAGAGCACCCATGGCCAGCATCCACCCATCTCTCCATGCCTAGGATGCTCCTTCCATGGGCTTTAAGCTCGCCTCCTTCTCTTGTTTCTTTCAAGTTTTTAAGTGGATGCTGGGGGTCGGTAGCAATTGGTGGAGAAGAAACAATTCAGTAAAACATGCTGCCAAGAGACCATCTGGCCACACCACCTCTGCACAGAGTTCTGCCCACCTGAGAAGGGGCTGCAGGCACCCTAAGCCATGGCTGGGCACCACTGCTGGGTCACAGATCTGTGCCCCCACCCAACACAAGCTTTGTGTCCTCTGTGCAAGCTCCCACCACCGAGGGGACAGAGGGAACAGACAGTGGCCCCGTTTTCCAGGGTTGTCCCGGGTGACTGTGTCAGAGCTAGGAGCTTGTCCTCATTCTGCAAGGATCTGGGACACGTGGCATCTCTATTCCCCCCGTGCTGCTGAAGGGTTTTACCTGCCCACAGTGGCCTCTCACCAGGCACCTCACACGCCCCAGGCCCCTGCCAGCCTTGAAATGCAACGGAGCTTGCAAGCACCCCATGTGCACTGGCAGAGCACAGGAGGAGGGATGGGAGAGGAAAAGCTGAGGGGATGCAGAGCAGCTCCAAGAGGTGCAGACACACAGCAGAGGCCAGCGAGGACAGGAGTTAATACACAGCAGGCAGGCAGGCGACAGAGCAGTGAGCAAATAGCAGCGGAGCAGGGAAGACCTGGAGTCAAGCACACAATTAGCAGAGACTCTGCAGAGAAGAGACACAAAAATAATTAGGGTAAGTGGTGCAGCTGAAAAGAAATGATGGCATGAATAAAGTAGGCGCAGGTGCAGTCAGAAACATGGCAATTGGGTAAATATGGGAACATGGCAAATACTGGCAGTTGCATAAATGTGATAAATATTGGGTAACTATGGCAGGAACTGCTGAACTGTTTTCCTGTTTGAAGGCTGCTTCCACAGCCCAACCTGCTGCAGTGTGATCACAGGACACAGCAACTACAGAGGGAATTATTTCCTTCTCAGTGGTGGAAGACTTTGCCAAGCCATGTCACAGCAAGAGGCCCCTGGCAAGGGACACTGGCCTGAGGAGAGGCTGGAAAGCACAGGAGAGGAAGTGTGGCCCTTGTAAATCAGCCACTTTTCCAAGGCAGCTGCTGTGAGATTTACTGGGGGAGCACGGCTCTGCAAAGCGTCCCTCTGTGCTCACTCTGCTTGGAGTAAACTTTATCCTTTCTTCCCATCCTTCCCTTCAATTGGAGGGAGAAACAGCAGCAGCCCCTTTTGGAGATCAAAGTTTTAGCAGGCAACAAAGACCTCCGAGGAGGCTGTTGCCATGGCTGCCTTGGTAACCGCGGTCTTTTAATCACACCGGTCTGCTTTGTGAGCAGCAGCGTGTGGCTGTCGCTGGCAAATAAGAAGGAAAACAGGGGTAAAAAACCTTGGTAACAAGTAGCACTTGTAATGGGTGTGAAATAAATAATCAGGAGTAGGCTGGGCTAGGATGAGGGGAACTGGAAGCAGGTTGCAAAGGAGGCAGCACAGTGGTCTGGGGCAGTGCATCCCCACTTTTCCAGGATTTTTAAGAGGAAGTTTGCAATCACTTCCTTCCCCTGCTGGCACCACCCACCTCTGGTCACAGCTCAGGGCTGGGGAGCCCTCTCCATGGAGCTGCTCACAGACATTTTCCCAGCTGAGATGTGGGCCAACACATCCCCAACACAAGGCCACCAGCACAACTCTGCCAGCTCCTGTGACCGAGCACTGGCTCGGATGCTACTGGCAGCTCTTCAGCAAATCAGAGCAAAATCCTAAAACCAACATCATATAAGGGAAAATTCTGCCAAGAACTTTTCAATCTCCGAAATCATGTCAAATTTCATTATACAGTCTCTCCTGGCATAGAAGAGACTCCAAACCTGGCTATATTTATACCAGCTATTGAGTCATTTTGCTGAGTAAGAACTGCCTTATTAGCATTGCACACCATACAAACGTGTCCCAGTGGAGATTTATCCCCACTGAAAGTCAACACATGTCTCTATTAGCACATTAATTACTGTACAATATGCTGTGTGGATATGTATCTACATTCTTTACTTTACATTCTTTACTACTATTACTATGGGTGTGAGACTTTTTAAATTTTGGGTTTAGCCTACATGGATACTGGCTGGTTATATAAACAGCAGAAAATGTCAGCTTACCGATGTTATTTGCCAGCTGTCTCCAGAAATTAACACAAACCTCAAGTGCCAATTGTTGTTATTTAAAGCATAACAATGGGAGAAGCTTCAGCTTCTTACTTGGGGAATTTCAG